GGGCATGAAAAGAAATGAGGCCCAGCAGGTGGTGCATGGAAGTGATTATCCAGGTATTCCGGACACAAGGACTTTCAGAAGATCAAGACACCACGACGTCTGACGTCCGGCAAGGGTCCCCTCATCCTCCCAACGAAACGTCTCAGGCTCGGGAGACGCAGCTGCCTGCGCATGGCATGTTTATTTTGCCCATTCCAAAGGCCCCGAGGAGAGATTCTCTTCTTTACTGCCGAACAATCAGGGGGAAGCCCTTCTAACTGTGACTATCTGGGCCGCGGAAAGTTTTAGCTGCAGCCTCCACACTTTCCATCCGAGTCTAGAACGTCCTTGAGTCTGTGTGCTCAGAGTGAGCACGCGCCCCTCCTCCCCTCGGCTGTGACTCTGCTTTGGCACGAGACCCACCGGCTAGTCAGAGAGCAGTGGGATGATTTCTGCATTCGTGGTTTGCAGTCACAGCTCCTGAAAAATAATCTTCAGCGATTCATCTCAGAAACTAAAGGTGTGTGAGGGTGTGGGGTGGGGTGGGGTGTCTGCTCATCAGCTTAGAGGTCATTATGTCCACCTTCCATCCAGAGCCCGCTGCAGACATCCCTGCCAGATTTCACATTTCTAAAGGAGGGGGGAGGAATAAAAGCATGTGGTCTTCAGGGTCCCCTCTGAAACCGCCAATGAATCTATCACACCATTCTGCCTTCAAGCATTTTCCATGTTGTGTGTGGGTCCTTCAGAAGGAAGAAATATGCAAACTTTTAAAAAAAGATGAATAGGTGTAAACATGTAAAAATGCAGTATTACATGGGCTGGGAGAGGTCAAGGGGGAGGGGGAATAAATAAGTAAATAAATAAATAAATAAATAAATAAAATGCAGTATTACATTTCACAGTGTGTTAAGGGTTTTCATCCGGACACAAAGCCTAGCACAGATTCCTGAGAGCGGAGTGATTTTGAGACAATTGTGCCTGGGAGAAAGGTCATAATGAAACCAATTTCCTCCCACACCTGCCTTCTGGGCTAGGAAAGATGGAAGGGTCAAAGGAAGTAAAAGGTCAAAATAAAGTTAAAGGAAAAAGCAACTCTATGCAATGGTGGGGAGCTGAGCATTTAGAGCAAAAATGAAAGGATAATGCCTCTACATTTCCACGGCCTGCCCCCGCGCACACACACACACACACACACACCTGAAGCAATTTTCAGCAAACTTCTCTATTATTTTTATTTCTGTGGCAAACCTTATATAAAATGTATGCATTGTACATGGTAAAATGGGTTGATCCCATTAATCGATGTCTTTTTTATTTAGTTTCTGTAAAACAAATTTGCCTATATTACATCTAATATGTGTTTTAATAACATCATAATCAGTAGCATATTAACATATAAATTCAATAAGAAAAAATTAAAAAACAATTTAAGCAAAAGCCTTCTAATGTAACAGGAATATAAATACACAGAGACTTTAAAGACAAGTGGCTTTGTCCTATTAATGTTTATAATTTATCTTACCATAATTAATATATGTAAATTCTAAATTATACTTGTTATATAAGTTCTTGCTTTCTTCCCAAGTTTTGCTTTGTTTACAGAAATTTCCAGAGTAAGTGGAAATGTATTTAACTGGATTTCATTCACACAAACAGCAAATTCAACATATTTTTAAGTAAAGTAAATATTATACCCATGAGAGTCTATGTTTCTAAAAGAAATTATAAAAATTCTCAGACCTACCTAGAAATTAATTTTAAAATGGCAGACCATTTACAAATGTCTCAGTAATCACCTATAATAGGGTGACTAAAACAGTAAATTCAAGCAGATGCTATACTCTAAGACACACTTTTTTTCTTATTTTTCATTGAATTTATTGGGGTGACATCGGTTAATAAAATTAGATAGATTTCAGGTGATACAATTCTACAATACGTCATCTGCATATTGTATTGTGTGTTTACCACCCCAAGTCAAGTCTTCTTCCATCACCATTTATTCCCTTTACCCTCTTTACCTCTCCCCACCCCCATCCCCTTAGGCAATCACCCTATTGTTGTCTGCATGAGTCTTTCTTTTTTTTCTTGCTTAATCCCTTCACCCTTCTCACCCAACCCTCACCCATCTCCCCTCTGACAGCTCTAGGGCACACTTTTTTTTTAATGAAATAGAAATTCTACAATTATATGTTAAAAAGCAAATTTCTGTTAGTGATGAGGACTCTTTGGTACATTTGATAAAAGTGTTTTTAGCCTTTCAAATGTCATTTTAGGTTAAAAATTATAGAAAGTGTTTTGAGGGGAGAATTTTAAAAAATACTTTTATATGTTTGCCTCAGTCTACCAGTTTGACAAGTGCAAATACAAAAATTCCAGTTTACAAAATGTAAATTATTAATATGCCTCAAACCTACCCTGAAAAATAAGGAAAAATGTAATTAAACAAATGAAGAGTGAAGGTAGTTATTTGATTAACAAAATGGTTCCCTATAGTAGCCAGAGTCACATGGCCAATTTCCCTAGTAAATCAAACAGTAAATCAATTTCCTACATAAATCATAACTTGACCTACAAAAATTTGGTTTATATGCAACTTCACAGGAATATTTTTAATACAGTAAGCACTGGGCAGCTGTCTGTGATTTCAAGGGACTTTTGATATCTGGACCATATTTATTTTGATAGTCTGTTCTAGTCAGATTAGATATTTATACTGAGTATACAAAACTGAGCTATTTGTGTTGTAAAAAATGCCAAATCATTTACAAAATAGCTCATGTGACAGTCACAGTATTTGTGTCTGATGCTGAAAAAAACTATACCAAGTAGTAACATTAGAAACTAAACATGATCACTGGGTATAAATTCTATTCCAGGATAGATAGTCTGTCATAGGATACCACATCGCCTTTATACTTTGGAAGGGTTAGTAAAATAAGATCCATGCAATCTAGTCTTCCTTACTTTGATTAGCAGCTAGGAGTCAGAAAATCTGGGGATTGAGTCTTTTCAACCACCTGTTTGGAGTTACCAATGACAGATGCTGAAAGAAGATAATATGACCTTTTTTTTTCCCCTCTGGGAAACTAATATAATGTACCTCCCTCCTTGAGCCAAGAGGAACTTGGCTGTTTGGAGAGCCAAGAATTTTTAAGCTTTAATACCAAAGGGCCAGGTTTTGCTTTGTACAATCATCAACACTATTTATAAAGAGTTGACCCCACGTAGTTTGCACAGTTGGTGTTTAAAAGCATCTGGCACCTAGCCAACAAGGTGATAAGCACTGACATCTTGGAAGAAAAAAAAGTCTTCATATTCCACGTTCAGGAAAGCCATTCTGAGTATTCAACCGCCAAGTAACCAGCTGCCCACATGGAATGCTGACACTGCTTTTTGATCCCTACCTTAGGCAATGGTAGGTGTTGTTGTTAATTTACCTTTCAGCTCATGGTAGGACTGAAAGGGGCTGGGAGCTCAGCACTCCGTATCTAAGAAGTCAGACTTCATTTGAGTACTGTTTCTGAGGCCCAACTCTGGAAATGCATTGAACTTCTTTGGAGAAAGTCTTGATTTCAAAGAATACACTCAAATTCTAGAAATTATGTATAACCTCAACCTCTCTCTCTCTCTCTCTCTCTCTCTCTCTGTCTCTCTCTCTCTTGCCGACCTCCCTCTGTAACTCCCTTCTTCTCTTTTCTTCTCCTCCTCCCTCTCCTTCAGTCATATAACACAGTGATTTATATCATAAACTTTAGAGCCACTCTGCCTGGGGTCAAATCTCACCATTTTCTAGGGGTATGACCTTGGATAAGTCTCCTGAACTTTCTATGACTCAGTTTTCTCATTTGTAAAATAGGAATATTGTAGCTATTGTACCTACCTCATGGAACTATTGTGAAGATTAAATGAGTTTATATTCATAAAGAGCTTATAACCCTGGTTGGCACATAATAAGCTTCATAAAAGCTAGCTATCATTATTGTTTTGATTTATGCATGCACAGAACTCTCTGAGCTTCAGTTTTCTCCTCTGTAGAATGGGCTCATACTCTCTTCATAATAGTGTTGTCGTGGTGGTTAAGTGAGATAATATATGAAAATACCTTACCAAGGTCTGGCACATAGTAGGTACACAACAAAAATTCATTTTCTTCTCCCACTCCACCCCTGCCCTGACCATTATTTATTACTAAAGTTAATTCTCACTTTAACACTTCATTCACATTACTAGGAATTTCTTTGTGGCAATCACTTTAGAAAGTCTCCTTTAATCCTTTCAACCATGGCAATAATCACTTGAGGC